AAAGGGGTGCAGAGCCAGTGGTGGTTTTGTAGGCAAACATTAATGCCTTGAATTTTATGCGAGCAGCTATTGGTGGCCAGTGCAAATTGATAAACAGATAATATAAATGATATATGAATATAAATACATATATATATATACATGTATGTTTGTGTATATTTATATATACATAATAAATATACACCGTACACACGCATATATTATATAAACAAAAACTTTTATTTTGGATGTGTTTAATCGTTTGACAGCACTACTTAAAATACCTTACATTTACTAAAAGTTCTGATTGGTTGAAACAAAATTAAGTGAAGAAAAAAGTGTTATCCCTTACTCACTGATGCTCTTAATGTGTCCATTTGGTCAATAGAGGGATTGTTTGTTGCTGGTCTCAACTTGACTTTTGATGGGAATGACATGCTCCTGTATCTCACAAAGTCTTTAAAGGAGAAAACTATGACGGCCTACCCTCTGTTGCTTGACTGGGTGAAGGAGCAACATTCAGGCTCTGACAAAGAAAGTGTCAACATCATTGCTGGAGATTTTGTGGGAGTGAATAGCTTTGCTCAGGATATCATTCAGCTCAACAATGCTGACAATGGTCCATGAGAGGGTCTTTTGAGTCAATACGGGATGTCCTTCAAACAGGATATGAAGCTTTCTGAGTATTTCTGTCATTTTGTTTAATTCATTTTTGATGACAGTGGTACATAGTTTTTAAGCGAATATATGGTTGGTTATGGCAAAAAGTCTTTTTGAGCATTTAACATATTACATAATTCTTTTTTTTTTTTTTCATTTGCATATCATTGCTCTTTTGTCGATTTTGATTGCTTCCATTGTCCTCATTTGTAAGTCGCTTTGGATAAAAGCGTCTGCTAAATGTCTAAATGTAAATCTAAATAAATAAATCAAAATTCAAATGTGAGCCATTGTTGTTTTGGGTCTCTTCAGCAAAACGGAAAAAAAAATGCAAGTGTTGGACACTTTACTTCCCTGTATCGTTCGGCCCTGTATAATCAAATGGGCGACAACACAGGTATGACAGACGATGATGATATGATATTGTGTTGTTCAAAAGTTTGAAAGTATGAATTTATTCATTCAGTGGAACCAGAGGCGGACAAAGTACTCAACTCCATTACTTGAGTGAAAGTACAGATACTGCTGGTCAAATATTACTCCATTACAAGTAAAAGTTGTAAAGACAGATTTTTATTTAAGTAAAAGTACAGAAGTACTTGCTTTTAAAAGTACTTAAGTACCAAAAGTACATTTCCTTTTTTATGTCAACGCACTGTTTTATTGTTGTACGTAATACTTGCAATACTTCTGAAGCAACTTAGAATACATTACACCTACTGAATACACTGACTAGCTTGTAGTATCTTTGGAATAAAGAGCTTTTAGAATGTTAAAAACCCATGGGGAAAAAATTAACACCCCTACCCACCCGCAGGATGGTAGTGATCTCACACAGCTCTGACAGTGTGTGCACACATCTATGTGTAGCCATTCATCCACATTTGAACAGAGTGGACAGTGAAATCCTGTAAATACAGACTGATAAGGAAGGGGAAAAAATCAAACCTGCTTTAAAACCCAGCAACACAACTGTAGATGTATAACTTTACAACAGCAACACTAACAAAAAAGCAAAACAGCAAGACTTATTTGACATCAAACTTTGGAAGGCAATGGCTACCGTCAATTGTTTGGTTACACACATTCTTCAAAATATAATATTTTGTGTTCAGCAGAAGAAAGAAACTTATACAGGTTGAAACATCTTGAGGGTGAGTAAATGATGACAGAATTAAAATTTTTGGGTGAACTAACCTTTGATTGGTGACTGAGTCATTCTGCCTCCTTTTGTGTTTCCCAGAAGTCATGCAGTGTGGGTAAATTATGAAAAAAGGACGGGTGTTGAAAATATACAGCATTTTACATGGCTTATTTTTTTTTCTTTTTAATCCAGGAAGATAGCATCTCTAACCAGCCCGTCAATTGTTTGGTTACACACATTCTTCAAAATATAATATTTTGTGTTCAGCAGAAGAAAGAAACTTATACAGGTTGAAACATCTTGAGGGTGAGTAAATGATGACAGAATTTAAATTTTTGGGTGAACTAACCTTTGATTGGTGACTGAGTCATTCTGCCTCCTTTTGTGTTTCCCAGAAGTCATGCAGTGTGGGTAAATTATGAAAAAAGGACGGGTGTTGAAAATATACAGCATTTTACATGGCTTATTTTTTTTCTTTTTAATCCAGGAAGATAGCATCTCTAACCAGATGGATTTAGGTATTCGGTTTCTCGATTACTGGTGGGCAAACACATCAGATCCAAGCCATGTCATATCCTACCTGGAGGAGAGGAAAACAGAAGGAAGACCAGGTCAGTAATGATTAGAAAACAAGACAGATAAAGTTTGATGACAAACTTTGATGTTGGCTTGACAAAGCCTTGTCTAAAATTTGAAACAACTTTGAAAGGCTTGAAGTTGGAAGATTTTTCTCAGAGAAAACAATAAAATGTTGCAAATAAGTTTTAGCATCTTGCTAGCATGTTTTAGTATATTACAGGGGTGTCCAGACTAGGGTTGTGCCCATAGACGATAGTATCGTGTATAGACCATAGTCAGAGATATCGTCTGTTGCTGATGCCTTTGGCAAGATCAAGAAGATTATTGGTATTATTATTATGATCAGGATAGTATTATTATCTAATTAATATTAGGGCTTATTTGTTCCATCATATTTCTTTTTATGTGTTTTTACAGTGTTGCGCGTTATAACCAATCACACACAATTCCGTTGAGTTTATGATTGCAATGGCCAATCAGAGGCATTCAGATGAGTCATTGCTGAAACACCGGAGTTTTGTTGTGCGCGACTAAAATCATATAATGTGTAGTTAATAGATTACACTAACATTAGGCTACTTTTAGCCTTACCCTGGAGTTGGTTCACTCTCTGGCTATGAAACTAGGTAACTAAATAATTAAATAAATTATCATGATAATATTGTGTATCGGCGATCTCACATGCTGATGATAGGACAATATGACTATGGTGCGTATCGCACAACACTAGTCCAGACTCGGTCCTGGAGTGCCAGGGTCCTGCAGAGTTTAGCTCCAATTTACCTCAACACACCTTCTTGGAAGTTTCTAGTATGCCTAGTAAGACCATGATTATCTGGTTCAAGTGTGTTTAATTTGGGTTGGAGCTAAATTCTGCAGGACACTGGCCCTCCAGGACCAAGTTTGGACACCCCTGGTATATTACTAACATGTTTCAAGCTTGATTTAACACGGGGGTCCTCAACTCTTGCCCTCGAGGTCCACTTTCCTGCAGAGTTTAGCTCCAACCCTAATCAAACAGGACCTGTGTGTGTGTGTGTGTGTGTGTGTGTGTGTGTGTGTGTGTGTGTGTGTGTAGCTTTTACACGTCTATTTGAGCTCTTTTTTGCCTACGGTCTTTTAAATGAGAGCAGAAACACACCAGTCGTTATGGTGCCAAGCTCAGGATTTCTCTTCCAGACAGCCAACGAGCAGTTGATTCAATTAACACTTTTTAAATAGTATCTCAAAGCACACTTGCTTAATAGGGCTTTTCCTAAAGCAATTTAATTCTCTTACCTCCTTATTTAGCATTTTTATTTGTTTACTGTTGTTTTTATTTTTACTCTGTAGATTCTATCAATTTCACAATTAAGTACAAAGAAACGGCATAGAATTAAATGTGAAATTTTGAAGTTGAAAGATTGTATTTTCTTGTAAAACACTCCAATAATCATTGTTTTTTAAAATAATTTTTACAGTTTGTATGTATATGAAAGTTGTATGTTTTTTTAATGTAAAAATTTTTTTAAAGCACTTTATAAGGTGTTGCAGTGTCACTGTTTATGACATTTTCTTAACTTTCTTTCTTGCCTTGCAAGTATTCAGACCCTCTCAACTAATTTACATGAATTACATGAATATATGAATTACATAAATTTTTTTCTGTTTTTTATTTTTTAGTTCACAGGACTGAAGCTAAAACTAATTATTTTAATACCACTGATTTGTAAATATATATGTATATATTCTTCAGTAAAAAAAAAAAAATGATGTGGTTCATAAATGAACAGTTTGCCCTACAGTAATGAAGACCAGTTTTCTTACAAATGGATCCTAATTGTAAATTATGTCACATTTTTTACAGAAAAACGGCTAATTTAGGCTGTGAATCAAAATGTGCATTTCAATTTTCACTTTGATTTACGGTTTAGTGATATCAGAGATCAATACAGGACACTTTTGTGTAATCCAAACTCTTAAAGAGGAGTTTAGACATTTTATATTAGTGTTTCTATTTGTGCTGTGTCTGCATCAAAAATGGAAATAATATTGGAAAATAATTTTAAAAACATGAGGTAAAATCAATAAGAATTATGTAAGATTATGCTCTTGTGTTTCATGTGAACTCGTTGTATAAAATACTCTTTGTTTCATTCTCACATACTGGATAACATGGAACATTTTACACAAACTTGTTCTACAGTTCAAATACTGCTGCCATCAAAGGGATACTCCATCAAAAAAAGAAAATTCTGTCATCCGGTTTGATTGCAAACCTGTAAGCGTTTTTGAAGTTGTAAATAAAACAGATTTTTAATAATAAGAAAATAATATATCAGATCTACTTCAAAATTGCAGGTTAAATTGAATGTGTTACTTGCAATTTCTTTGTAATTGATTGTGAAATTGATTTGCAATTTCTGAGTGAACATTTTTATGTACACCAATTTTTTAAGTGTGCGGAACAAAAAATATATTTTGAAAAACGTTGGGAACAAAAAAACATTGGAGCCCATTGGTTTAAATTTGAATGGACATTTCTTCTAAATATATTCTTTTATGTTCTTTAATGTTTTATATTTTAAAATTTCAATTAAACTTTTCACTAATGCTTTTATGCTGTTGTAACTTCAATTGGAATGAAAAACTGTGTGCCTCTTCCTTATTTTATGCATGCATATTTTTCAGGCTCAGCTGAATGCGATGCATCTGAGCCGTCTGCATGCTGCCACCACGAGCCCTAGCACGGCTTACCCGAGCCCCTGGCTTCAGAGCGGTGAGGCGAGGCCGTGCTCTCGCTCCAGCCATGTTGCCAATAGTGAGGAGGGAATGCACACCAAGAGCAGCGCATGTGAAAGACGCCCATATGCCATCCCAACCATCCCTGAGGTGCATGAGCCTCTGGAGAGAAAAGCTCGGTTTAGGAGCCGCAATGTCATGTCTCTGGTTGGTGTGATATGATTTTGCTTTTTAATTTGTAAAAATGTGAATGATTACCAATAGGTTATGCAATCACAAAACCATTTAGATAGGCAAATATAAGATGCAAACATTTTATTGTTATGATACAATGCTTTGGGCAAGGCTAGAGAAATCTGAGGCTATATCAGTGGAAGTACAAGATATGTTATATCCTGAAGCTAAAAACTAAATGAACAAAGCTAAAATCAAGCAGCAAACAACCTGTTGAGAATCATAAAACTAATTTTCAACAGGTTTTTACCCAGCCATTTTTTTATTTTATTTTTTACTTTCAATCAAGTATGTTTGAATATTTTGTTTAGATCAGGGGCCTCCAAACTCGGTCCTGGAGTGCCGGTGTCCTGCAGAGTTTAGCTCTAACTTGCCTCACACCTGCCTGGAAGTTTCTAGCATGCCTTGATTAGCTGGGTCAGGTGTGTTTAATTAGGTTTGGAGCTAAACACTGCAGGACACCAGCCCTCAAGAACCAAGTTTGGAGACCCCTGGCTTAGGTACTTAGAGTTTTGACTTGGTAATATATTTGCAAAGCAATTATACTTTAATTTAAGAATAAATTCTTATACACATTCACATTCTATTGTATGGAAACTTGTTTCCAAAATAAATTGCAACTTTTTATGTCACAATTCTGACTTAATATCTCACAATTCTGAACTTTGAGATATAAACTCAGAATTCTGAATTTCTTTCTCGCAATTCCAAGTTTACATCTTGCAATTCTCTTTTTTTTTGTTTCTACCATGGAATAAAAACTCCAAATTGTGAGATATAAACTCAAAATTCTGACATTATTTCTCAGAATTGCACGTTTGTAACTCGCAATTCTACGTTTATATCTTGCAATTCTTAGTGTCTTCTGAATTGTGAGATAAAAAGTTTTCAGCTCCGCTTTTATTTAGTTATGCATTTATTTTTTTATTTTATTTTTTTATCCATGGTACAAACATGCTATTAATTTATCTAAAAAAGAAAAATCAATAAAATCAATTGTTTTGGGGTTTTTTTACACAAAAGAAGATATTTGATGACATTCAGTGGACTCCAGTGTTGTTCTTTTTTTTGTTTTTGGGAGAACTATCACTTTATTTAAATGGGTACTTCACAGGTAATTGATAAATGGTATTGCATTTTTGTAATGTTGATCAACTATAATGGTTGATATATTGTGGTGTTTGTTTTGTAGGGTGATGCGGACAGTTTGTGTCTGATCTGCCATGATGACCTACGCAAAGGAGGAGGAGTTATCAGAAAGCTTCACTGTTCCCACAGCTTCCACAGTGAGGTAAAGGTTCAGACTTTAGAAATGATCAAATTCAGCTTCAAAAATCTAATATTTCCAGATATACGTGGCCTAAAAACCAGGGCCATTTCAGATGAGCTATTATCTATTCTGCATTTTTTTAGCTGCTGAGCATTCGTTTTCTCCCAAGACTTCTTCCTCACTCTCTATAACTGTCTTAGGGAGTTTCATACTTGCCATTGTCCCCTGTGTTTTGTTCACTGGGGTATTGAGATACTGTCCTTTGTAAAGCTGGTTTAGAATGTGTTGTTGAACAGCTGAATGTAACTGAATATCGTGATCCTTCTGGTTTAGTGCATAGAGGAATGGCTATGGAATAAGCAGACCTGTCCCACGTGTCAAAAGCATGTTGCCATGCCAGAGCCATTGTACTGGACATCTACCAGAGTAATAGTGCCCTGAGCTCTTCCAGCTCCCATTCAAACTACCTTGGACATCAGATGGGTAACAAAAACATCAGACATGATGGTGGATAACTAACAATGCAGCTATTTCCTACAAAAAAGGTAGTCATATGACTAATCACAAAGAGGAGATTTTGTTACAGATTGGTACAGCATTTCTTTGTACATAGGCTAAATTAAAATAACATCACTAAATGTCAAATTGTTTTTTTTAATCTTATTTTTTTTTATTTTAATTTTTTTTTACATATCAATATGTAAATATGATATGAATCATATTTACATATTAAGAAAATATGTTATTTTCTATTGTGTATATCTTTTTCTGCAGAAATTTAAGCAAACTGAACAAGTTGTATGAAGTTGTACGATTGTACATTTTAAAATGACCTTGTAAGTAATTCAAAGTAGGCCAACTGGCAATGTTTTGTTTTCAAAACATGTAACTAATGTAATATTATCAACAAAAGTGCAGGCCTGTATTTAGCAGGTGTGTAGCTACTTGAGTAAATGTGCTTCTTTACTATTCTTAAGTACTACTTGGGGAATTTGAACTTTATTTGAGTTCATACAGTATTTCACTGGTCATCCTGACATAGAATTATGATGAGTCTTACTGAACTAACAAGTCAAAATCACATTCCTGTGATGTTTACTAAACTTTTATTGAAAACGCAATTCTCTTTTTTTTTGTTTCTACCATGGAATAAAAACTCCAAATTGTGAGATATAAACTCAAAATTCTGACATTATTTCTCAGAATTGCACGTTTGTAACTCGCAATTCTACGTTTATATCTTGCAATTCTTAGTGTCTTCTGAATTGTGAGATAAAAAGTTTTCAGCTCCGCTTTTATTTAGTTATGCATTAATTTTTTTATTTTATTTTTTTATCCATGGTACAAACATGCTATTAATTTATCTAAAAAATAAAAATCAATAAAATCAATTGTTTTGGGGTTTTTTTACACAAAAGAAGATATTTGATGACATTCAGTGGACTCCAGTGTTGTTCTTTTTTTTGTTTTTGGGAGAACTATCACTTTATTTAAATGGGTACTTCACAGGTAATTGATAAATGGTATTGCATTTTTGTAATGTTGATCAACTATAATGGTTGATATATTGTGGTGTTTGTTTTGTAGGGTGATGCGGACAGTTTGTGTCTGATCTGCCATGATGACCTACGCAAAGGAGGAGGAGTTATCAGAAAGCTTCACTGTTCCCACAGCTTCCACAGTGAGGTAAAGGTTCAGACTTTAGAAATGATCAAATTCAGCTTCAAAAATCTAATATTTCCAGATATACGTGGCCTAAAAACCAGGGCCATTTCAGATGAGCTATTATCTATTCTGCATTTTTTTAGCTGCTGAGCATTCGTTTTCTCCCAAGACTTCTTCCTCACTCTCTATAACTGTCTTAGGGAGTTTCATACTTGCCATTGTCCCCTGTGTTTTGTTCACTGGGGTATTGAGATACTGTCCTTTGTAAAGCTGGTTTAGAATGTGTTGTTGAACAGCTGAATGTAACTGAATATCGTGATCCTTCTGGTTTAGTGCATAGAGGAATGGCTATGGAATAAGCAGACCTGTCCCACGTGTCAAAAGCATGTTGCCATGCCAGAGCCACTGTACTGGACATCTACCAGAGTAATAGTGCCCTGAGCTCTTCCAGCTCCCATTCAAACTACCTTGGACATCAGATGGGTAACAAAAACATCAGACATGATGGTGGATAACTAACAATGCAGCTATTTCCTACAAAAAAGGTAGTCATATGACTAATCACAAAGAGGAGATTTTGTTACAGATTGGTACAGCATTTCTTTGTACATAGGCTAAATTAAAATAACATCACTAAATGTCAAATTGTTTTTTTTAATCTTATTTTTTTTTATTTTAATTTTTTTTTACATATCAATATGTAAATATGATATGAATCATATTTACATATTAAGAAAATATGTTATTTTCTATTGTGTATATCTTTTTCTGCAGAAATTTAAGCAAACTGAACAAGTTGTATGAAGTTGTACGATTACATTTTAAAATGACCTTGTAAGTAATTCAAAGTAGGCCAACTGGCAATGTTTTGTTTTCAAAACATGTAACTAATGTAATATTATCAACAAAAGTGCAGGCCTGTATTTAGCAGGTGTGTAGCTACTTGAGTAAATGTGCTTCTTTACTATTCTTAAGTACTACTTGGGGAATTTGAACTTTATTTGAGTCCATACAGTATTTCACTTTTCATCCTGACATAGAATTATGATGAGTCTTACTGAACTAACAAGTCAAAATCACATTCCTGTGATGTTTACTAAATCAGCTTGTAACACTCCAAAGAGAAAGGAAAACTTGAAATCGCATCATATGACCCCTTTAATGTTAATATCTAGCTAAGCTTTCACTTCAGTTTTGTTTAGATACTTAAAAGTTTAAATGAGTAAAATAAAGGCAATGCATCCATACTTTCACTTACAGTATACGTTTTTGTTTTGTTTTTTTATTGCAAACAATTCAGAGATGACATTAATGAAATACAACTTTGCATATATTACACATAATGTATCAACAATACATCCAATGTCATCTGAACATATGGAAGAGAAGAGAAATAACCCATTGTGTTTTTTTTTTGTTTTTTTTTTTATTAGACATTAAAGACATAACATGCAACATTTACAACTTTAACAAGACATCCAAAATGATAACACAATTAAAGGAATGGGTTTACACTACATAGAGAGAGAAACAAAATCAATAATAATACTTAAAGAAAAAAAAGACAGCATATACCCGTTCAATTTTCAAGTAACTTCAACTCTTTAGCGAATAAAATTGTATCTCTACGTTTTTTGTTATCAATACATTGGAGGGACTCAAAATACAAGTCATAAAGACCTTCAAACAGGGTTTAGAACTAGAAATAACCCATTGTGTCGATTCAGAACGTCGAGCGTAATGACGTCGCGTAACCGTTGCCGTGGCTACACACGGAAGTTACCGTATGCACCTGTTACACTTTCAAACAGGAAAGGGAACAAATCAATACACATTTACTTAAACGAAGTAGCGTCGAGCCGGGTTTTTTTCGACTTGAGACTTTTTTTTTTATTAAAGACATAACATGCAACATTTACAACTTTAACAAGACATCCAAAATGATAACACAATTAAAGGAATGGGTTTACACTACATAGAGAGAGAAACAAAATCAATAATAATACTTAAAGAAAAAAAAGACAGCATATACCCGTTCAATTTTCAAGTAACTTCAACTCTTTAGCGAATAAAATTGTATCTCTACGTTTTTTGTTATCAATACATTGGAGGGACTCAAAATACAAGTCATAAAGACCTTCAAACAGGGTTTAGAACTAGAAATAACCCATTGTGTCGATTCAGAACGTCGAGCGTAATGACGTCGCGTAACCGTTGCCGTGGCTACACACGGAAGTTACCGTATGCACCTGTTACACTTTCAAACAGGAAAGGGAACAAATCAATACACATTTACTTAAACGAAGTAGCGTCGAGCCGGGTTTTTTTCGACTTGAGACTTATTTTTGGGATTTTTTTTTTATTACACATCAACCTGAACCTTTATGGACAAATTAAAGAAAGTTTTGAGTGGCCAAGATGGCAATGACGACCTCAACGTACTGCAGGTAGTTGCGTTTAACAGTCTACTGCGTTACACTTTACATTACATACCATTTTAATGCTGTTATTGTGTCTACAGAGTGATGGGGTGTCGGTTTGAATTCGAATCTAACGTCGTCTTCTGCGACTTGTTTTGTGCTTACCCGACTGTCATTAGCAAAATGGATTTATATCTCTGTTTTTGGTGAACATCTTTGAATATACTGTTTTAGGCAGCGAACGAAGCATCAACACTGGGATGGGGCACGCGCGTCAAGGGATTCATCGCGTGTTTTGTGTCGGGCGTCTTGTGTTCAGTTTTGGTAAGACGAGTTCACGAATAGTTTTATATTGTTTTATTTTAATTGTACATACAATAGTCAAACGTCTACTCTTTTCTTATTTTTGTGATTCAGGGGACCTGCTTGCTTTGGGTTCCGAGAAGCGGACTGACACTCTTTGCAGTCTTTTACAGTTTAGGTAATATTGCTTCTCTTTTAAGGTGAGTCATGCAGCTTTTAACTGTCCACCTTTGATTTCATCTCGCCCAAGGTGTGTCACTTGCTACATTGTTTACAGTGGGAGGCCATGTTTGCTTTGGCATGTGTGGTCAGTGACAAATGGGGATGTGCAAGGTCAAAAACACCTTTTTTAACAAATGAATTGAATTAGTGACTTTAAAATGTCGATTGATATAAGTGCAATGCAAAAAATGTGTAGATAAATGTTTCACTCAGAAATTGCTAGTAAAGTTCACAAATAATTACAAAGAAACTGCAAATAACACATTGAATTAAACATGAAATGAAGTAGAAAACTGAAATGGCAATCTTTGTTTTATTCACAACTGCATTTGTGAATCATTTTCACAGTAAAATGGAAAGCAATCTATGGTGGCCGAGAAGTGCAGAACAAATCACAATTCTGAAAACAAAAGAACAAATTACAAACGCAAATGCAAGTCTAAAAAACAAAATAACAATTCAGAAAGCACAACAACAATTCAGAAAACATTGCAACAAGTCAGAAAACACAATGACAAATTCGAAGACAAAATAACAAGTCCGAAAACACAACGACAAATCATACAAACCGAAATTGTTGTTGTGTTTTCTGAATTGTTATTTTGTTTTTTAGACTTGCATCTGCGTTTGTAATTTGTTCTTTTGTTTTCAGAATTGTGATTTATTCTGCACCTCTCGGCCACCGTAGCAATCAGATATTTTCCTTATCGCATACATTTGAGTGATTGTAAAACTCTTAATTGTATTTTTAAATCTCTTTTTTTTTAATATCACAAAGATTTCTTGGGGTTATACCGTTTGACATTTGAAAACCCAGACTAAACTTGCAGTGCCATAAAGTCTCTCCCTGAGAGACCACAAATTAAGCGTTAGTTCTGGCAGGTCACGTGAGTCAAGCTTGCATCAGCTGATTCTCAGCTGATCACATCTACCTATAGGAATACGACACCTATCGCGGCATTCCTATATAAGCTCTATTCAGCAGTTTTTCAGCTTGCTTTGGAGCAAATTACTCTCCTCCATCCCCAGCTCCTCCTTTCGCCACAGTCAGGACTTGGCTTTCTGATATTCCTTGCTAATCAGACTCCTTTATCTTGAATAAAGTGTTGCACTTAAATATCAAGTACATTAATGATATCTGCATTGTTCTGTTCTGTTAACCCTATGGGGGTTATTATTGCTGCTCTCCCTGCTCATTCATCATGACAGGCTGCATGGATGGGCAGGGAGTTTTTTGCCCAGAACAGAACCATACCGCCAAACCAAATGTTATGCTAAGTATCTATCATCTTGACGATAGTGGTCCTGACAGAAATATGTTTTAATAGCTAAAAAACCCCACAAAAAAACCCACATTGATACTTTTATCTAATCTTATGAGAACTGAGTAAAAACAAAATGACAAGAAGAAATAATAATTAAAGATTATGCCAATTTTTCAGCCTTTTCATGTAATATGCCCCCAAATATATATGAAAATAAATTATTTTTGAGATTTTAAAACATGTTCACCACAGATGAATGTATTCAACTCATTGTCTGTATGAATTGCAAATGTTAAAGCATTTGTGAATAAATTAATAGAAAAATGAAATGTCTCAGACTGGCCCATGTATGCAGTGATGTGTAGCATCTGTGAGAATCTGTAAGTCAGTCCTGAGGTCTTTTTGGGTGTGGATTGTTTTCAGCACAATGTTCTTAATGGGTCCATTAAAGCAACTCAAGAGGATGTGTGACAAGACGAGAGCTCTGGCAACTGGCATTATGATTGTGAGAGCACACGCATACACGGCTATCATAGCCTAATACACGAATATCATAGCCTAATGCACAGAGAGATTCAGTATTTCACATAATTCACTAATTGGCCTTTTTCCTTTTCCTGTAAACCAAACATTTGTGTTTTTAAAGACATGCCTGGTGCTAACCTTTTGTGCTGCTTTTTGGGTAAGTGGGTTTCCTAATAACCATGATTTCATGTCATAATGTAACACAATGTTTAAATTTGCATGTTTATTGTGATAATTGATTGATTGCTTTCCTTATCTTTTACATTTCTTTGTTTTTGTATTTAGTGGAAGAACAAAGGCCTTGCCCTGCTGTTCTGTATCCTCCAGTTTTTTGCTTTTACATGGTAAGGTAACAGATAGCCGTACTAGTTACTTTTCTTGTATATTTGACTATATAAATTTTGTAATTGTATATGGAGTATATTTACAAACGCACACACAGACATAAATGTATATATAAGAGTGAGTGAAAGTGAGAACACCAATGACATAAGGCAATAAAAAAAAGCTTGAACTTTGAACCACGCAGTGCTGTAAGCGATATGTTTTCTTTTTAATGGACTGGCACTATTACCTGACAGATATCACTGTAGTAGGTGTCCTGAAATATCACACCTGTCTTTGTGATGGTCCTAGGCTTTGCCAACCTTTCAAAAGTTTTTTTGAAGACTTTTGAGAAGTTATTTTGTGCTTTTGGTGGGCCCACATATTTGAAGCAGGAATCTGAGAGTTGAAGCGGATCTTTGAATTTAAGTGGCATAATGCTATTTTTCTATTATTGATTTTAACAACACTGAGATGATTACTTCTGCCCTCTTTCTCGCTCCATCTCTGATTACAGTGGTCTCAGTGGGTGGAGTTTGGAAAGAGGGGGCGTGTGTAATATAGTCACTAAGTCTGGTAGAAGTTCCAGAACAGCTAATGTTTCCTACAAATCTAATATATTCAATCTAATATGATATAAAATAATAATATATAATAAATCTGAGTTCTTTTTAACCGAACTCCTGACCTTTACATTTCAGAACCAGAATATCAGTAAAGATGTTATTTATTGATGTTTTCAAGAACTTGTAGCAGCAAAAGCACATGAATCTGAGTATGGAGAAGTTATTTCAGCAACTGTTGGGATATTGACACATGGACATAGTATATGGTATAGTGTATCTTACAGGCACTCCTGTCAAAAAACGACTTTTAAGAAGCTATAAAAATAGTGCAATAGTGGCCCTGCTATGGTAGCCATAGTAAAGAATGAAAGTAATGCAGTTGATTGCTGTTATTATAACATAATAAATTGCAGTGACATCTTGTTTATTGGCTACATTTTATGTGTGTGTTTATTTACTAAATTACCATTTTTTGACATTGTGGAGACTTTTTATTTTAATTTTTTGGTCTCTGAGGAAAACAGCTTATAAATCATACTAAATTATGTTTTTTGAAAATGTAAAAATGCAAGTTTTCTGTGAGGGTTAGGTTTATGAGTGAGTTATATAGGAGATAGAATATAATGTTTGTACAGTATAAAAGTCATTATGTCAATACAGTCCCCATAAAATATGAAAACCCAACGTGCGAGTGCGAGTGCGAGTGCGTGTGCGTGTGCGTGTGTGTGTGTGTGTGTGTGTGTGTGTGTGTGTGTGTGTGTGTGTGTGTGTGTGTGTGTGTGTGTGTGTGTGTGTGAGAGAGAGAGAGAAATGTAGCTTATGAATTTAACTTGTCTCTATTATATCCCTTTTATTTTACAGGTATAGCTTGTCCTACATTCCTTTTGCAAGGCGAGTTACTTTATATTTTCAAAACCATAGATTAAAATAAAAATACTGAAGCAACAGAAACATTTTTGTCTTTGCAGATGTCAAAGACTGTCCTCGGGCCAATTTATCTAAATTGTTTTGTTGAATTAGTTGGGTTTTTATTTATTTAAATTTTTTGCAGTAGTATATAGTATATATAAATGTTAAATTGTGAAAATTTACATTTTCCATTTTAAAATATAATTTTTGCTATTTAAGTGCCTATTGGTCTTTATTGTGTGAAATTCACAATTGCTTTATAGACTAAATTTGAAACTGTTATTTTGTCAGAAAAGACACTTTTAATCATCTATTCTTTTGGCTTTAGTGTTTGTTTACCTTTGGTTATTTGTTTTTATGTAGGGATGCAATTATTAAGTTGTTCTCCGCGTGCTTCAAGTGAGATGCCTCTACATTTGGCCTTGGCTCTCTCTCTGTGTGCTGCTTTGGCTCCAGCTTCGGTGCTGCCTTCAATGCCACTCGTGTACCCACTCTGCAGCCTGGCACATACACCACACCACACTACAGGCTCCCCTTACTCTCCCCAACGGATGGACACTCTCCATCTGTGTGAACAAGTACACACAGACAAGTACTCTCTCTCTCTTACACAAACACACACCTGTGCTTTACATTCAAGTAGAAAACTATGAAGAGTGAAACAAATACCCAAGTAACAAATCTTATTGGGTAAATGGTTGAGTTTCACCATCTGTGTGAACAAGTACACACAGACAAGTACTCTCTCTCTCTTACACAAACACACACCTGTGCTTTACATTCAAGTAGAAAACTATGAAGAGATAGAAACAAATACCCAAGTAACAAATCTTATTGGGTAAATGGTTGAGTTTCGGACTCTGTCTTGTAACTGTAGTGACATGTTTTGTGCAGCAAGATGGGGTAGCTTATTTTACATTTATCTGCTGTGTAATTGCTTAATAATTCCTTCCTACGTGCCTTCATCTCTGTCTTCATCCAAGGATTACTTGAGGACTAGATTGGGTAGAAATGTAACCAGTGTTTGCGTTTTTTTTAGTATTTAGATTTATTTCTTTTTTTTTGCAAGAACAAGATTTCTAAGTAATTGTTCCAATTATATTTTAGTCCAGAAGTTATCTATAATAGGTAAGTGAAAGGATGTCAGAAATGTCTTATTAGATAAGTCAAATATTAAACACTCATTAGGGTGGCAATGAATATCTTTAGGGTTAATTTGTCTTCAAACAACCCTGTTTCTTTCTTTGAATTTAGGTGCAAAATGCTGTGATGAATGTTTCATATGCCTGTCCTCACATTTTCAAATCATGTCTGGCACATTTCCTTTGAACTGTATTGATTTCAAAAATGACAGTGGTAGTTTTTCTTCGTTACTGTATGTCAGCTGTATATTTACTGAAGAGATTCATTTTATGTATAAAAATGCGTTCCAGAATTGTTTTATCATGACTGAAATGGAACTTTTCCCTATCATGTTGATTAATTGTGTTGTTTCATGTTTGTTTCATTATATAGATTTGCATTATTTCTATGAAAATAATTTATATGTGTGGTGTTTAAGAACTGTTACTGTTATATGGACATTTTAACAATCCTTCCTATTAAACATTAATCAGATTCATGTAGACTAAGTGAATCGATTTCCCTTTTTTTAATCCTACACTGTAAAAAAAATTCTGTAGTTTTATAACTGTAACTGTAGTTATTTCAAAATACAGAAAAACTGTAACCACATTTACAGCCAAAACCTGTACATTTTACAGTATAAAACTGTAATTTACAAATAAGAAAATTTGAATGTAAACCAGTAAATTGATACCAGTCCGACTTTAGGAAGCAGAATGAGGTTTAAAGCATCAAATAACGGGTAGCCTTCATCGTTAATTTAAAAGGAAATATGCTGATTTAGCCTTCTAGTTACAATGTCCAAAAAATATGTAGTATATATAGCTATATAGTGTCCGGTCATGATTGGGGTACGTTTCGTACGTAGTGTAAGATAGACCGAATCTGATCTTTCACATTTGAGTTATATAAACTATTATGGATCAGACAAATTTGAATAAGAATGTCCAACCTGAAATTTTAAAACTCATGTCCTTAGATGCATTTGCATTCATTTTTTGAAAAACATTTAATAATTTTTTTTACAATTATGTGTGAGTTATGAATATATCACTAGCCTATTTCTTAAGGTTATTCCATTTGACCCAAACAACCGTTTCATAAAAAGGTAAAAAATATGTGATCGATTATTTTTGAAAATCTAAATGACACACGTTTTATTCTACCCTCACATGACAAAAACAGTTCATATTTATGAATTTTTTTTCACAAAAGACGTTTTATTAGGGTTTTAAGAAATAAACCCATATTTATACTGTTAAAAATAAAGACAAAAAAGTATATGGACACTTTCTGGTTGTCTCTCTGCTGCGTAAACTCAAGCTTTCAAAAATGGCACAAAAAAGTTAGTTCTGGTGGAAAAAAAACTAAAATTACTAAACGTTTTTAGTAATTTGTATCTAATGTAATGACGTTAAAGCATTTTTCAATGTTACTTAGGTATCCAAATACATATAGGGGCCACTGTAAACAAAACGTACTGTAATATGGTTTCTTGAGAGAACAGAAAATTTAAGTCAATGTGATAGTTTATCTAAACTTTAAAAACAATTTTGTTAATCTTAATCTTTATGAAAATATTTATTAATTTGTCAGTTGTAGTTTTGGTGTTAATTTAGAAAAATGTAGAAGTGTTCTCATTACATTCTGCATTAATAAAATTAAACTATAAAAAATTAAATTATAAAATTGTCCCTGGTGTCCAGTTATCCATCAGCAGGTTTATTATTTTGTGTTGCTGGTATTGGCACATGGTGGTGTTTTTATGTTTTTTTGGAACGGGCAGATTTGTTTAATTGAAAAGGCTTGTTGTGGTGTTATCGAGCTGAAGGGCGACTTGACCAACTCATTCAGTAGTTACAGGTCAGCTCTGCAGGTGGGTGTCCTTCCATTTGCAGCCCCTCTTAAACTTGTTCTCATCCACAAAAAATAATCATGGGGGAAAAAGATGAAAATGACTAGCGTCCAACCTCTCATGAAGTTCGTGCTTGTAACTGCTCATAGAGTTTTGGCAGCTTGTGTGAATCATTGTTGGGGATAACTTTTAATCATGTGTGTAAGTGTGTGTGACAGATTTTGGACAGTTCTATTAAGATTTTTGTCTTAAAGGGATAGTTCTCTTAAAAATTTAAATTCTGTCATGCATTTACACCCCTCATGTTGCTCCAAATCTATATGAGTTTTGTTGTTCTTCATGTGTTTTGGTCCATGTAATTAAAGTTAGTTGGGTCCAAATCAACATTGGAAACCTTTGACTTTCAATGTATTGAACGTCTTTATTGGTTCCATGAAGAACCTTTAACATTCACAGAACCTTTCTATTTCACAAAAGGTTCTCTATATTGGAAAAATGTTTGTTAGATTATTAAAATGTTGTTCACACTAAGAAGAAAAGGGTGCTTCTTGTAACTGTTCACTGAAAGGTTCAAAATGGTTCTTCTGTGGCATCGTTTTGAAAACCCCTTTTGGAACCATTCTTAAAGGGATAGTTCACCCAAAAATGAAATTTGGTGTTTATCTGCTTACTCCAGGGCATCCAAGATGTAGGTGACTTTGTTTTTTTAGTAGAACACAAAAGAAGATTTTTAACTCAAACCGTTGCAGTCTGTCAATCATATAATGGAAGTGAATGGAATCACGGCTTTGAGAGTCAAAAAAACATAAACAAAACCAAATTAAACTCCTAATTGAGATTGTAGATAGAGTGTCAATGGTCCATTTGAGAGATAGGTGGTGGTAATGCACTTATAAGTCAGCGATCCGCCGTAAAGCAAGAAGAAGAAGACGCGCCGGCTGAAGAAGACGCGCCCAGGACAGTTCGGACATTGCAGTAAATGAACATTGCAGAGGACAAAAAAACAATATA